TAAAAAGCCCATGCAGTCATGTAATGTGGAAATGCAGTCATAAAATGCTTGATACTTAGGAAATATATGTCTCCAAGAATAAAAAAGATGAACAAAGCAGATAAGTCTTTCTTATGGAAAATGTTTTCTCTATTTGCAGCAGCTTTCAATATATTTAACACATATTATTATTTAACACTTATTATATTTAACACTTTAACATATATTTTAATACTTATTTTCTAGATTTTAAAATAAGATTTTATAATTTCGGTCAAATCTATCGAACCAGATTGTCGAACTTTAATTTTTTTTTCTAAGCATTTTAAATCAAATATAATGATAAATAGAGCATGAACGTCAAAATTTATTTAAAAACTGTACAAAAAAAAAAAAAGAAATTAAATGATTTTAGTTATTAAAATGCTTTCTTCCATATAATTTGGCAGTTCAACAATAAAGTTACATTTTCGTTATTTGTTATGCGGAAAATCAATGCATCAGTGCATAGATTAATAACTTTAAGTGAAAAAATATATTTTAAGCTCAATAAAAGACATATTGTTTTCAATAAGAAAAACAATTATCTAAAGCTATCACGCATTATTATTAAAGATATCATCCATCTGTCTTTCATCGCATTTTCTAATTAATTCTCAAAAGTAGTTTCAAATATCATAAATCACTTGTTATGTAGTCAAATGTCCATATAGTCATTTAATGTGGAAATGTAGTCATAAAATATTTATTAGGAAATATATAGGATGTTGTCATAAAGTAGTATTAAGAAATATATGCCTTCAAAAATAAAAAAAAAATGAATGGCAGATCAGCCTTTCATCTGGAAAAATTGTTCAGTTTGCAGCAGCGTCCAACGTATTTAATAATTATTTTTCATATATTTTAATATTTTCTAGATTTTAAAATAAGATTTTATGGTTTTTGTCAAATCTATTTAATCAGATTGTCGAATTTAAATTTCTTTATTTAGAATATAAAAAAAAAAAATTATTTCACTTTACATTTATTATTTTTTTATTAGCCACTTTAAATGATTGTTAGACTTATACTTCATTTCACGTCATGAATGAATAAATTATAAGAGCATATAAAAAATATAACTTCTTTATATAATCTCATTTATCCTAGATTTAATTTTATAAAATTATCAAAATAAAACTTATATTATTACATGAAACTTTGACTGCGAAAATTTGGATGTTAATAATATAATACAAACATTAAAATTTAAAATTAGCTGAAAATAAAAAAAAAATAAAATGACTAATATTTTTAAAATTTATGCTTTTTATAAAAAAAATAAAAATAAAGATCTCAGATTCTATGGAATAAATGTCAAAACATTATTTTCTAAATTTTTTACCATACACTTCTTAGTAACGAATCACATTAAGCTTTGTGAGGAAGAGAGTAAATTGCAAACACCCAGTATGTCATTCCTGAGGTTGTTGAGAATAGAATGGGTTTTGTGTCAGTGGGAGGGTGTATTAAAGCTTCCAAGAAACTCCCAATAAAGAGTTTGAATTTTTTGTCAAATTATAAATTATATCCATGAAGTTGGTTTAGAAAAACTTAAAAATAAAATGTTTCGTTCTACAAATACATTTAAGAAGCAATGATGATATAGATATAGATGTAGATTTGCTTTTGTTTGATTTGTCACTCTATGGACATTTCCGCGTATACTTTACGCTATTTAGACCGGTACCTACAGTTTAACGTGGATACCGAACCATTAACAAACATCCATACCACCGCCAGGATGACATAAATGGAGAAGAAATATTGAAGAACTATATGAACTAAGAAATTTAAGAAAATTACTTTAATTCAAAAATGCACTTGATGAGCAAATTTATATTCACTAAAATGATTTGACCGTTTCTTTCTCAAATTTGAGAATATCACTAAGCCTTCTCCCAAGTGTAACTAGAAAGCAAAATCATTCCCGAGTTTAAAAATTAAAAATTTATTATTTAATTTTTAATAATTGAAAACACATATTTGTAATTATAGGTGAGTGTAATTCAATAAATATCCTACAAATAGAATCACAGTAAATAAAAAATACGTGGCAGCCCAATTCAGCAACAATCGCAGTAGCATTAACTCTTAAATGTATCAGTTTCTTTTAATTCCTGTAGAAATTTCAAATTTTTCTGTATTCTTCTTCGTTCAAACGGCCTGATGGCCAATTGACTAGCGCTCTGGCCTTTGACGGTGGCATGGATGTTTGTGAGTGATTCGGAATCCCCGCTAAACTGTAGGTCCCGGTCTAGCTAGCCTAAAGTCTGCAAAAAACGACCGTAGAGTGACAAACTAAACCAAATTTTCTTTCAAATGTTCGGTAATCAGCTACAGATCATCTGAATAATCTTATCAATGATGTTTAGGAGTTGGGCCTGAATGGCCGAGTGGCTAGCACACTGGTTTCGGGTTCGAGTCCCGGCGGTGTAGTGTTTCGGAATCCATTTTAAACTGTGGGTCCAGGTCTAATATGATAGTAGACCAATGCGGGGGCATTGTTACTCCGCATCCGTGGCTTATCTTCAAGTTACACGCGCCCCCTGGGTAATGCAAAGTGAGTAACGTCTGTGCAGCTCTTGCCTTAAGGCATCCAAGACCTAGCTTTCTAAGTGTTTGCCAGCTACATTAGAAAGAGAAAAAAATGTTTAGGAGTTTATAGGAACATTTCAGTGCCGATTTTATTTAAATTTTCCCCTAAATGTCGCATCTTAATCTTATTTGGCTTATTTCTCATTGTATACTTCTTTCCGAACTCAATACTCACCGTACTGTAAGACAAAGTACATTTTTAAACGATAAATATCTTTCCTCTAACGACAACGACAGATTATTAAAATGGTGTCTCCCACTTTGTAATACAAGAATTACATGTTCAATGCGCTTTTTTTTTGTTAAAATGTTGTTAATCAATTTATGGGCATATCGATTTTTGGATTATACGGTATAATAGATGTATCTCACCTTTACTCAGTACTTTATTCATATATATATAATTATATAATATTCACAATACGAATACATTTCCATTGTCATGCAACCACCGAATATGAAATAGAATTTGTTGAAAATGGATGAAGAGTTATATATTTTATAGATATATGAAAGGAATTTGAAAATAATTTGGAGTTGCAATTTGATTTCATTTTTCTGATGTTTAAAAATAGCTTTATTTACGATAACAAAACTTTCTACCATTTTATATAGTTTGAAAACGTCAGAATACAAACTACAATTAGAAAGAACGAAAACCATTTCTAATACTCTAATTTAATAACAATTTTACTTCAAAGAAAAAAGTCTATGAAAATTCCTAAGCATGTTCTTGAAAGAAAATTCCAGTTTTTTTTTACATACTTAAAACTTCCAATCTATTTAAATAAATAAATTTTTCTTTTATTCAAATAGAAATAATTTTTTTTCCAGAATTAAAAATTCATTCGTGTTTCATTAGTTAACATTGTTTTTAAATTAGAGAAAAAAATAGTTATGCACGTACAATAAAAATCTGGTACATACATTTTTGACACGAACAATCTTTTTTTCTAGAATAAAAATTTCTTATTATGTTTAAAAAAAACTGCATGTTTAATTTATATTGAAAAAAACTGGGACCGGAAAATAAATTGAAACTATTTTTAAATTATGAATATTTTTGTACCCCCACCACAACTAGCTAATATTCCTTTCCTGATTTATTTTGATTTCCGAATTGAAAATAAATGTTTTTGGTCTAAATAATTTATTTATAAAAAATAGTTCACGTTCATATAAACAATGCTGGTCTAGTTATTAGTTTACGCGAGATGGAATAAGAACCCATTGTATTGGTAGGATTGAGAGTAGAAGTTACATTTATACAGAAATGACAGGTTAGGAAATAATTAACTTTTAAATAACAACAATTCGTTTGATGGCTTGAAACTTATACAATTTTGCTTCTTTTGCGAATTCTAAAATGAAAAATTAAATGAAATTTCTTCATAGTAATCGAAGCTAGTATTAATTTGCAGATATATTTTTGTGTACTATACGGATGCTGCTCTTAACTGATATATATGTTTATGAACAACTTGTTTGTTTTTACTGTCCATAACTCAAAAGATTTCATCTGTAACAAAACGAATCATCTATTTTCGCTCTATTTCTTTTAAAAGGTTTGTTGGTTATGATGTAACAGTTGTTTATCAAATATTTCTGCTTTTTTTTTATTTGTTTCGCTATCATACGAAGAATCCATTTTTGTTACATTAGAGAATAGTTAAATCTACGAGAATTCGTAAATTACACTAAATAGAATAAAATTCATGAGAGCTTTAAATAATTTAATGCGTCATACAAACTATTAAAAATCAATCAGAGTGCCCGACTCGTGACTCAATGGCAACGTGTGTCGCTGGTGATAATTAGGGCGGAGTTTCAATCCACTGGTGGCTTTGTTATAGACAGTTTCAAAAAACGAGGAGCTCGAGGGCGTTTGTGACATTCAGCATCTTGCCTCGTTAGGGGGTGGTAAATATAGGGTAGTTGCCCCTGAAAGTCTTCCCAAAAAGCATTGCCCTCCTTCTTCAGCTGCACTGAACCAAGTCAGACTTCTACCTATGGATGCTCCATCACAACAGAAGCTGCCCCTTTACCACCATCCATGAGTAGATTACTCATGGGATGTCCATCTCGCACTGCAGGATACTTAGGATTAGTCCCACAAAACCAAATAAAAATATGATAAATAATGAATATAGTTGAGAAGGCTGATAGGCTGAAGTTGAATAAATAATCTTTCTTTAAATATCCACATTCAACTTAAAATGTAACTTTAATTTCAAACGTTTATAGTGCTATCTCGTTCTTCTTCAATTCTATACATTGCAGAATCTAAACAGAAGATTATTTTATCTATTACACGTTATAAGTATATGTCAATAGATATATCTTTGACTTGGATCCAGCCATCTAACTAGTAGAAATAACATGCCGACGGCCATACCATGCTGAATATACCGGTTCTCGTTAGATCACCGAAGTCAAGCATCATTGGGGGCGTGACCAACTGGGAACACCGCGTGCCGTTGGCATTCACAAATTTGGGACCTGAATGGCCAAGTGTCTAGCGCTCTGGCGCTCGGTGCCACAGGTTTCGGGTTCGAATCCCGGCGGTGCCATGGATGTTTGTAGTGGTTCGGAATCCACTTTAAGCCGTAGGTCCCGGTCTCCTATGACTGTAAGAGCGTCACGGAGCCAAAGTCAGACTTCTACCTACGGGTGCCCCATCAAAACAGAAGCTGCTTCCTTCCCCTTCAATCATGAGTACGTATGGGCTCGTGGGCTTGGCCAGCCAAGTGGGATAAGAAACAACAACAGCAATAATATGGTCTATAATATCTTAAGAGTACATATTCCTTGATAAAACTATCTTCCTATTATAATTTATTTCCTTTGAGTTTTGTAATTTATATCGAGTTTTGCGTATTTCTGGGTTGACGACTTTTCACGTTTTGTCATTGTATATTTTGTATTAATTTTTGAGGTTTTTTTCTATCTGCCAGTGTAGTTTTGCTGTTCAACATTTTCATATTTATGTTTATTAAATAATTTTCAGTTTTGTTGATGCAGTTTCTAGACATTTCGGATATTGAACATTTTTTTTTCTTTTTTTGAGAGGATTCAATATGAGCAACCAGGAATTTTTGTTTTGTGAATATAGTGATAGTTTGGTTATATACTTTACGTGTAGCGAATACCAGTAGTAGATGTGGCATGCAAATTCATTTGCGCATTTAATTTTGCTCCTTGTACGTTCTCCTTTGGGTTTTGTGCTGATCTGTTATATATATATATATATATATATATATATATATATATATATATATATATATATATATATATATATATATATATATATATATACATACATACATACATATATACATATATTATATATATATGTATAGGGTCTTATCAAAATAATGGAAACACCTGTGAATAAAAGTGAAATTTTTGAATGCGCTTCATAAGCATTAAAACATAATAATAGCTACCAGTTTTTTTAAATAGAAATGTATATATTCTGGTAGTATGTGGTAGCTTTATTGATGTCCTGTAAGTCTTGGATTTATTTCAAACACGTCAAGTGTCGGACTTTTCAGATTTTCATAGAGAACAAATTGTAGGAGCCCACTCCATTATTTTGATAACCCGAGAACTCTCGAATTTGAATACTCGAGAACTATTTAAAAAATTTCTATTTGTTTTAATATTCTCATACTTAGATTGAAAGAGGAACTAATTGCTTCTTAGAAAAAATTAGAGAAAAAGACAGTCTATTAAAAAACAAAAATATAGTAATTTTAATAAATATCAACACCTGTCTCTGCAACAATAGCAAATGAAAATTCAACTTTGTTTTATTTTTTAAAACCAGTTAATATGAGGAAGTATCGAGTACTACGCAATAAAAAAAATCGTGCTATTTCGGATAAATGTCGTGGGTTCTTTTTTGTTTATTGAGGTGTGTAACTACTAATTATCCAACACAATAAGGCAGTAACTAGTAAGTGTTAGCATAACTAGTAACTAGATAGTGACATAAACTTATTATCTGGTTACTTGTGATTGTTAGATAAACAGAGATAAAATAGTTATAAAACTTTTTGTTATTATGCAACTGAATATGGAAGGGGAAATTTTAAAGGAAAAATCCAGCTTGAGTATGTAATAGTGATATAATATCGATAAAAATTATACAGTTCAATGATTTACATACCAATACAGAATAATTTTGAAAAATATTAAAGCCATTTTTTTACATGCAGTGTACTCAAATTTGTCATTAATGGCAAGGAACAATCGCATGAACGGCTTGTATTGTTAGCTTTTTTTTTATTTAACTGGAAATGCTATGGGAAAATATTTAAAATTCTAAATGGTGAAAATAAATCATTTTGTTACACGTCAACATTGACTATGTTTTATTCTACGTAAGGGCATCGCTTTGTAAATATTATAATAATAGTTGTATTGTAGTTATCTTATTAATCGTCATCTTATGTAATTTGAAAATTCTCCATGAAGCATTTGGGCGGCCTGATGGCCAATTGGCTAGAGCTCTGGCCTTTAGCATTACAGGCTTCAGGTTCGAGTCCCGGCGGTGACATGGATATTTGTGAGTGGTTCGGAATCCACGTTAAACTGTAGGTCCCGGTCTAATTAGACTAAAGTGTGCACAAAATAACCGTAGAGGGATAAACCAAACCCAAACCATGATGCAGTGACCAATTTTTGTAAGAAAATTTATAAAATGAGCTAAATTTGTGAAACGCATGATGAATGTGAAGGTCCTGAATATATTTGTCAATAATAATTTATTTTTAATATTTAAATGGCCACATGCGTGTTTTTTTATGACTCACTTCATTGATATCGATATCAAATGAATAAAATGTTATTTAACAAGTTATTTTTATTTAATTATTATTTTTCTTCAGATGATAAAAATCGTCCAGGAATAGGTTGATTACCTTATGCCTTATGGTCAAATACCGCCTCAAGGATTTTACAAAGTTATTGTTTACAAATTTGAATTATTCGTTACAGAAATGTAGCAGACTCAGCGCTACAAAGGATAAAGACCACGGGGGCCTGCTACATATAAGGTATAGGTTTAATAAATGAAATATTATAATTGATAGACAAAGTTGACATAAATGTAATTTTTTTTTCTACAGCGCAAAATGACGACTAATTATATTTATAAACAGACAACGATATCCTTCGAACACTACGATATCCACCGAGCTAGAGTAAAGTTTAAGTATAAATTTCATTTTAGTGTCATGTGACATAAAAGTGTCCCTTATATTCGGCTCCATTAAATTCAAAATTTAGGTAGCTGGAATACATTTCAAATTGAAGCGTAAACGAACACATATTGTGTCCGTCAATCTGGACAAGCATGTTGATGTTTTCGAAATCTGTTTGTGGCAATCTAAATTAATCTCAAAATAAGTGAAAATGGATGTTAAAAACAGATTCCATCTTTGGCCATGATATGTTTTATATTACCAACGTTAATGTTCATAGAAATCCTACCGTTGAGCTTTATTTAGTGGTCGACAACTTGGAACTATCCTTCAGTCAACGGGTAAATAACAACATCATTTGGAACTTGAGCTTGTTGAATAATTGTGATGTGATTACAGAGATTACAGAGACATGTGACATGTGATGTGATTACAGAGACACAGATTACAGAGGGATGCGCACAGAAGCATGTTGGTATCATAATTAATAATAACTTAATAATGCAAAATTATTCCTATGAATTCTAATACAATTTACAATATGAATATTATTCGGATTTGCAGACAAAGATTTTGCAGTTCTCAGGATTTTGCAGGTTGCAATTCGTGTGTAACATGAATGTGAAGAATTCAAAGTGTTGATGCCGCTTAGTGTGCTATTATTAAAATTAGTTGAACTACTAGAAGGTAGAAGCGGATATTCCTTCCCCTGTTAGATTCTGGAAATTATAGTGATGTATTTATTGGTTGAGCTACAGGTGAATTTTATTGAGGAGGTGGTGACTTGCACATAAAAGAGGCATGGCATATATGTTCAAATAGCCGTCAAGTAATATGTCGATCGTCGTCAATTGCTAATTAATGCATTGTATACATTGGACCTTATTTGACTTGACTTGGTACTTTGAGATGTATGCTCAATGACGCTGCTTTATCTCAGTTTATCCAAATGTTGATTAAAATACTACAGATAACAGAATTTTATAAAAGAGAAAATGAAAAGAAACTCGAACTTCTGAAATTAATTGCTTATGACAGCTTACGAATTCCATTTTAAATTACAAGAATAGTTGCTCATACTTTCTAGCAACTAAGAGAATATAAAATAAGAAGAGTAAATTTGAAAAAGAACGAAATAGATGAAACTACAGATCAAATGTATCCCAACATTTTAACTGTTAAATGATTATTAGAACATATGCAGTACAACTAGCACTTGAAATTAAATGAATAAGAAATAATAACCGCAGAAAGAAAACGTGGGGTATCCCATAGCTTACAGGGTTACGAGACTTTTCGTAGAAATTGAAGTATCTTCGTTGTCTTCTAATAAGCATCCTCTGACATATCAAATATCCAAGAGTAAGACAGAATTCTATATCTGAAAGCGCCTAGCAGTTTATTTCGTGCGGCTGCATATTTTATGCATTGAAACAACATGTGTCCAACTGTTTCCGGAGTTTAGCAGATCGGGCATAATGGAGATGGAGTCAGGCCAAATCTATGGAGTTTATACCATTGTTAGGATACGTCTTTGTACGAAATCTGGATACAAGAATATCTTCTTTTCGACTATTAGAAAAAAGAACCTTATTTGAGATTTCGGATATGCTTTGATGTTGCTCGCATTCTGGTTTCCCAGTTCGAATAACATCAATGCCATTGCTTTTTCAGTCAATTATTCTTTAATATAATTCTGAGCAGCTACGATGATTTTCCATTAATGTTTGCCAATTTGTAATGTCCCCAGTGATTTTTGGAATGCAATAAGATTGTGGAATAGTAAAAGGAACTTTTTCCATAAGGGCATCTTTTTCATAAATACAATTAACTAATTTTTCCCTGTGCTTTCAATTTCGTTCAATTTGGTTTACTAAAAATATTTACATTGTGATAGGTCTCCCGACAGCAATTTTTTATGCATTCCAATGATCATAATAATTTTTAGGGAAGAGAAAATGAATTTAATTCTCCTGTTTACAATTGACAATAGTTTTGCTGATCCGGCGAGGCGAGAAATAACATTAATTTAGTACGTTAATACAGATAGTTAACTTTCAAATTCTTTCAACTTCCTTGAGCCATTCCAGTGAATTATCAATGACATCTTTAAAAATTTGAATTGAATTTAGAGTACCGTTAGTGGATGTAATTTCTATAATATTTGGTGCACTTATTTATCGAACTAGTTACAGTTTTTGTGTCTCCATTAACATTACAGTAATATTTCGATCTATTTTAGGATTTTCAGGCGTAGGCGGAAAATTCTACT